GTAAAACAAGAAGAGGCAGCCAGGTGGCTTGCATGACGTCCTAAAAAATGGAAGAAATATTACCTGCCGGGTGGCTGCCCCAACTCCCCTCCCCACAGTTTTCCCAATGTTCGGTAAGATGGAACCCTGCAGCTTTTGACTGAGGGTGTGGCTCAGTCTCTAGACAGATTGCTTGACATGTTAGATTTTCAGCATTGTATAAAGCCAAGCACGGTGGCATAAAATCTGGAATCTCGGTGTCTGAGAAGTAGAGACAATAGAACCAGAAGTTCCAGGTCATCGGTGGCTACACAGTGAGGTTGAAGTCAGCGAGGGGTACATGAGATTCTGTCTTCAAAACAGGAAACCTACCACTCACCCACCCACCCACCCACCAACCAACCAACCAACCAACCAACCAACCAACCAACCAGCCAAACAAACAACTGTTCCTTTGAGTTTATCACCTGCTGGGGAAAAGTGAGTCTTGTACCCTTTTCCAGGCTGGAGGGAGGTGGTTCCCCCCCCCCTCCTGGCTTCTTTCATGGGGCGGGGTGGAGTTTAAGAAGGGGGGAGGGGGAAAAGGGGACATTGCTGCTTATAGAAACTTTCAGCCAACCCTTTCCAGGTACTTGGTGCCTTGGATTCCAGATCTCTGAGTTTTCTGTTCTTTTCTCCTCCTAAACCTTAGGTCTTGAGTCTCTCCCACTAGATTTCTCATCTTCTGCGGCCCCCTCTCACTCTCTTCAGGCGTCCGTCCCTTCCCTCTTGTCTCTGCACGACGGCGTTAGGAGGGGCTGACGTTAAACATGCACATCCAGTCTGACCTTTTCCCTTGTTTTTTCTTTTTCTCCTTCTTTCCTCCCCCCCCCCTTGGCCTTTGAGACAGATATCTCCTGAGTCCAAGGGTTATAGGTGTAGACCACCATTTCATCAAAGCTAACCTGACTCTATAACCCCTAATGTTCTTAGTGATGGGAAAGTCTTGCGTTACAGCTCCATCTCAAAACCCAGCAACATGCCTGGTGAGGATTAAGGGGCTTGGGACACAACTGGGGTTCAGTGAGCGACAGGGTGAGAGGTACCGTGAGTACTCAATGTCTGTCTCTGGGGAAGAGGACTGCCTTTTAGGTAAGAGGCTGCTAACTCATTCATTGCCTGGGTCTGTGAAGTTTTCCTCATGTTTACCACTTTCCTCTCTGGTATGAGTCTATCCCTTCTGCTAGGCTGAAGTTGGAGGAACTGTGCTTGAATGGTCCAGTGACTTACCAAATAAATGACTGTACCGGAGCAGAGAGGTTGAGTAAGGACCTTGGTGGGTGACACTACTATGACTTCCTCAATTGGACCAGTCTTTCTCCAGGCCAGTGGAGGAAAGTGCCTTGACCTCTACCCAGCGAAATCAGAAAAAGCCATAATTGCCAGGACTGTGGCTCTAGGCAGTTCAAGGTCTATGCTTGAGGCCTAGCTTCATTTCCTACCCAGGTGTCCCTGGTTCAGTTGGGCCCTTTTCGGGCCCGAGTTTTCTTGACTGTAGAGTAGGAACAATAATACAAAGTTTACCAGATTACTTGAGAGAATGTGTGCCGTTTCTTACAGAATGACCCTGCTCAGTAGCGGTCGGCAACGATTACCTGCAGTCACCATCATGACCTTCATCATTCTGCCGCCATGCTGTCACTGTCATCATCACACTCTGTTCCATTCTACTCAGGGGCACTCACTCCTGGATTCTCTCTAGTGACCCCCGAACCTTTCCCCATTTTCTCAGGGATTGGAAAAGCTCCCCTACCTTTAACTGATCTCTATGAGAACTCGTTGGTTTTGCTAAGTGGGAAAACTTCTGGAATATGTCCAGGTGGAGAGGTGAAGTCTCCACCTGATTGCCAGGACTTGGGGGGTTAATTTCAGCATTCTTCAGTGGGCATGGGACCCCAGACAACTCACCTTACTTCTTTGAGCACTCTTGGGTTGGGTCAGCCTTTCCTGTCATTTGGGGGGCTACTGCTAAGATTCACCAGACAAAGGAGCCGATGGTCCTACATATTGGGGAAATGTGAATTGGAGTTAGACAATAATACTCGTAATTATACTGATGACAACCACATACTGTTTAATAGCATAATAAAATAATAATAATGAAGCTATTACTATTATTTGCTTACTATTTGCCAGACACTCGGATTAAGCCCTTCACAATCATAATCTCATTTATTCTTTGAAAGAACCCCGTGAGACAGGCCTCCTTTTCCTCCATATTTTACAAATGAGACAGGTTTTCATGGGCTCTAGTACTGTGCCATGCGCATTTAAAATTCAGCTGGAGCCACCAATGTCTGTTCTTATGGGCAGGGTCTCTTTCCCACAAGGTGCTCTCCACATGCAGCTTTGAAGAGTCCAGCTTGGGGAGGCTACATTGAATTCTTTCTGGGGTTCCTTCCAGCTGACCCTGCACCCCATCCTGGAGAACCCCAGCTTTAGAAGGGAGCTCGTCTGACCTGCTTCTCTCCTCCTAAAGCCAGAGAAGTTAGCAGAGAAGACTAGACAGGGTATAAGTGATTTGCTCAGTGGGAGTGAGCCGAGACCCTCATTTTCCCCTGGTATATACGAGGTGTTCATCCTGCCTTCCTGAGCTCCTGGTGTGTTCAAAGCCACTTAGCTGTACGTCAGACACGGCTCGGACCAGAGAGAGGGAGCAGGGTTTTCTCTGTGTCTGGGCTTCAGTGACCAGGATCACAGGCCAGCCTGGGGCTGACTGTCTTTCGGGTTGGGAACCCTAAGGAGTTATATGTGGACCCGGCACTCTTGGGAGGGTGAGCAGAGCCTCTGCCACACTCTGAATCCCAGATTGCTGGGATCAAAAGGTTGGAATTTGATCTTCTGGGCTGTGGATTTCTGGCAAGTTACTGCATCTGGGAGAGGTTCCCTTATCTTTAAGATGGGCAGAGGATCTTGTTTTCTCTGGGCTATTGTAGGCTCCAAGAGGTCTGAAAGGGCTTTGTGAGATTGCTTCCTGGGTAATGTCTCCCTGGTAGGAGTGACAGAAAGCTCCTTAGAAGTGGAGGGAGCTGAGAACACAGTGATCTCCCTGGCTCTGTTGTCCATCCTAGCCATTGTTTCTGGATACAAAATCCCTTTCCAAGCCCCTACAGTCAAACCTGAATAACAGAGTTGCTGCTGGGACTTACAGCATAGTAACTATCTGGCCAATCTCTTCCCTCACCTCTCCCAGGGAGCAGGCCTCCTCCTTAGGCCCAGATAAAGAATGACTCACAGTGGCTAGCTGACCCTGGCCACTAAAACCTTTATGAAGCTCCAGCCACACCCTGCTTCCTGACTGGCCTCGGGCTCCCTAGAGACCTTCTACAACTGATTCCCTAATTTACAGTCACTCATGGTAGAGGCAGGTGTGTGTGGGTGTGAGTGTGTGCGTGTATGTATGCGTGTGTGTGTGTGTGTGTGTATGTATGTGTGTGTAAGTGTATGTATGTGTGTAGTGTATTTGTGTGCATATGTAAGTGTGTATATGTGTGTGTGGCATGTGTAAGTGTGTGTGAGTACTGTTGCCGGCTTCTTCCTGGAGAAGATTGTGGCTAGAAAGCAGTTTACTGCCTTAGTGGAGCAATTCTTCATTTAATCATAGAAAACCCAGCTAATACATGAGAGAAGGAAACTGACTTTGGACACCCTTCATTTCACAGGGGGAAACTGAGGTCTGGAGATAGGAGTGGCTGGCCCTGCTGCCTGTCTCTCTAACCTCTCCCCACCACCCCCGCCAGGAGGCACAGGACTTCTGTCCTGAGACAGTTCTAATGAAAAAACAGAAGGTATCATGGGGACACTACTGAGGACCGATGAGGTGGAGTGGGCAGGAATTTGGGGTGACGCTACTGAAGTACCCCACAGTGCATATCAGGGAGCTTGGCCCAAGGAAGAGATCCAGACAGGCCTGGAAATGCTGCTCTGTAGGCTGGGTGTGGAGAAGGGCGCCTTCTCTTATGGAAAAGTCCCACTTGGTGTTGCTGGTTTGAGCTCCTTCACTCCTTCACTTTTGAGGTCCCCCCCCCAGGATTCAGCCCACACCCTTTTAACACCTCATCCAGCACTGCTCAAAGGGGGTTGGGGGTGGGTGGGTGGCAGGTTCCATGCCATTTCTGTCTGTCTCTCTGTGGCAGGTGCCAAATGCCTTATGGGCAAGTTATGTGCCTCGGCCAGGCTCCGTGTCCTCATGGTGGGAAGATTGCAGAGACTCAGTAGAGGTCTTGTTAAGTGAGAGTGGGGTAGGGGAGGATGGTGCTGTCAGTGTGTGTGTGTGTGTATGAGGGAATGCTGAGTTCCTGAGCTGGGCCAACCATGCTGGGGGTTAGGTTTTGAGCACTGGCAGGGTGGCCTGGTGTTTCCTGCAGCTGTACCTATTGTCACCTGGGGCAGGGTGGGGCAGCTCTGTCGCAGACAGCCAGGAAGCCTGCAGCTTAGAATGCCCTCAACAGGGATCTGTCTTTGTTATTAAGGATCAGGAGAAGGTGGGCTCTGCCACCCGGTGGGCTCTGAGAGTCTGTGATTTCCTGTGGGGTGTAGAAATCTGATGTGTGTGTGTGTGTGTGTGTGTGTGTGTGTGTATTACTGTTACAAGGAGGAAACATCTAATAAGCACAATTCCAGAGTGGTCACTGAGTTGGGGCTCAGAGGGGTGTGATTCCTTAGGGTGTCAAATTCTTGGAGGCCAGGGTGATACCATCACTCCGGAAGTCAGAGTTGTCAAAGCCTGTGTAGTAGGGGGCTGAAGAGCCAGAGCAGGGACGGCTGGGTTGGCAGTAGCTTTGGAGTGGGCTGGGGTGGGGCAGCTCTGGGAAGGACTGGGGCCTCTGGCTCCTGGGAGGGGAGAGGTGGGGGCAGAGCCGCCAGGAACTGACCAATGGGGAAAGCGCCCATATTTGTACTCGGGAGCTTGGAAATTCCTGATTCCCGCCCCTGCGACATCTCCATCCCCCCTCCTACCCGGGGCATAAAAAGCCCCAGGTGAGGGCCTTGTCACTCCTTCTGCGGTCAGCAGCTCTCAGGCCCGCGTTCCTTGTCCCTCTGCTCCGGTCTTCCTCGTGATCATGACTGCCTACAGCTATCGCCAGTCCTCAGCCACCTCCTCCTATGGGGGCATGGGCAGCGGTTCCCTGCGCTTTGGGTCAAGCGGTGTTTTCCGCGCACCCAGCATTCACGGGGGCTCAGGCGGCCGCGGCGTGTCCGTGTCTTCCGCCCGCTTCGTGTCCTCGTCCTCCTCCGGGGGCTATGGCGGAAGCTACGGTGGAAGTTTTGGTGGGACCCTTGCCGTGTCCGACGGGCTGCTGGCCGGCAACGAGAAGATCACCATGCAGAACCTCAACGATCGCCTCGCCTCCTACCTGGACAAGGTGCGCGCCCTGGAGCAGGCCAACGGAGAGCTGGAGGTGAAGATCCGGGACTGGTACCAGAAGCAGGGGCCCGGGCCTTCCCGCGATTACAGCCACTACTTTAAGACCATCGAGGACTTGCGTGACAAGGTGGGCAGCGGCTGGGCCCTGGGAGGCGCACCTGCTAGGCTGTGCGGCAGGGCGCGGAGGTTGTGGAAACCCAGCCCGCGGGGAAGGGGGGGTGGTGGAGGCAAGCCCGTTACAGCGACGACGGGCAAGATCGCGCAGGGTGGGGCGGAAAGGGCGGGCTGGCAGGTAAGTGGGTGGGACCAGCAGGGAAGGTGGAGAGCTGCTGGGAGAGAGGGTCAGGAATAACGAGAGAGAGAGAGAGAGAGAGAGAGAGAGAGAGAGAGAGAGAGAGAGGGGAGAGAGAGAGAGAGAGAGAGAGAGAGAGAGAGAGCCATCAGCTGTGGGCTGCCCAGAATGAAGACCCCAAGCCTGAGCCTCAGATGGGGTGCTGCCTGTAAATGGGCTCAGGAGCCAGGGACACTCTTTCTGGGAGTCTTCACGGTTCTTTCCTCCTGTTGCGCTTGCCTGGTTTTCTTCTCAGCAGTCCTCTTCCCAGTCCTCTCCAGCCCAGGCGACCACCCAGGCTCACAAGGAGCTATGGGAAGAATGTAAGAACTGGGGGTGGGGGATGGGGTGCATAGCAAAACCCAGTCTTAAAAAAAAATTTTTCCAGTCAGGCGTGGTAGCTCAGGCCTGTAATCCCAGAACCAGGGAAGCAGAGGCTGGAGGATGAATTCTTAGCCATGCTCAGCCACACTTGAGGCTGGTTGGAGTTACAGGAGTCTCTTCCTGCACTATCCCCTCCCCGTCTTCTCCTCCGCCCCTCCCCCACCCTCCCCCCCCCCCCCCCCCCCCCCCCCCGGCCCCCCCCCCAAGCCCAAGCAAACAAGCAAAAAACTTTAACATGAGACAAAGAAAAGGAAAAAAATATTTTAGTAAACGAGAGGGAGATAGAGGAGGTGACCTCTTGCTTATGTGGACCGCTTTCCTGGAGGACCAGGTACAGAGAAGGCGGCCTGCAGGTCTCCATGGGCAGTCTTCACTCCCAGAGAAGAGCTGTGTCCTGAAAAAAACTGTACCCTAGTGACCAGGGTGGCATTTAACAGCTTCCACCCCCACAAGCTCTCCCAACATGCACTTTGCTAGAGCATTTTTTTCAGTGTGGTGTGAACCTAGCATGGAGCCGGGCACAGATCCTAGAGATGCCAGCAAGCAGCTATAGTGCTCCCCCCCTTCTTTCTTTTTTTAAATTTTGAACATGGTCACGGACAGCGAGACTCCCAGGCAGCACAGCACATCCCCTGTCTCCTGCCTGGTCGCCTCATCCCCCTCCTCATCCCCCACAGCAGACATATCTAGAAGCGATTCTTACTCCACTGGGAATGATTTCTGATTTTTTTTTTTATGCCCTGCTCTGTTTTCTTCAACAACACCCCCAGACATCCACATAGCTGAGCGTGGTGGCTTATGCCTATAATCCATCATCAGGGAATGGAGGCAGGGGGATGATGAGGAGGGGGCTCTGTCTCAAAATGTCAAGCCAGAGGAAACCCAAATCAAACAAAACAGAACAAAAAAACATAAAAGTGAAACAAAACAGAAGTCATGCAAATGATGGAGACGCGGTGAGTGGGCCCTGACCTAATCTTTGAAAAACGCTGAGCCCAGGTACTTACATCGGTGGTGAGCTGGATGATTTGAATGAACCCCTCAGATGGGGTGAACTCAGATGGGATTTCCAGTTTCGGTGTTAATACGGTAGCGAGACTGAGTGACAACGAAGGGTGAGGTCAGAGGTGCCTGGCACAGTGTTGATTCCTGGAGGTAGAAGGGGCTCTAAGTGTAGAAGGGACACAGACAGGGATAAATGTCTCTCCCTCCTCCTCTTCTTCTTAAATAATTGTTTATTTTTGTTTTATGTACATGTACATATTTTATGGTGTTTTGCCTACATGCATGTCTGTGTGAGCATGTCAGATCCCCTGGAACTGCAGTTACAGACAGTTGTGAGCTGCCGACTGGGTGCTGGGAATTGAACCCAGGACCTTTGTAAGAGAAGATCTCTCAACCAGCCTCCCCCTCCCCCGCTGGGAGTTAAGCCATTCTTTAATTTTTTTTTTTTTTTTAATTTAGTCACGTCACATCCCGGTTGTAGCTCCCTCCCTTGTCTCTTCCCTCTCTCACCTTCCCTCCCTCTTCCCCCACCCCCTCCCTTTCCCCTAGTCCTCAGAAAGGGGGAGCCCTTCTCCCCTACCATCTGCCTCCAGTCTATTCTCCTCTGCTTCGTGTTTCTAGGCCCTTAGAGTTTTACCCGTACAGGTCTTAGACCCGTCCTTCTGGAATTGCCTCTTTGCCTGCCTCCCTTCACCCTCCCCTCAACCTCTTGAACAGTGTGTCCCGCTACAGCCCCCAGGCGGTGGATCTAGGCCAAAGCCTCCCAGAGAGCAGACTAGTGGGTAGTGTCTGGGGAGCAGAGGCTATCTGTCCATTCCTCTCTCCTTCTGGGGGAAGAAAGTGACTAGGTAACACCTGTTTGCCATACTGGCGCCAACTGTCGGCCTCCTCCCTTCTAGATTCTTGGTGCTACCATTGAAAACTCCAAGATTGTCCTACAGATCGACAATGCCCGGTTGGCTGCAGATGACTTCCGAACTAAGTAAGTGGCCCTGCTTTGAGGGGGTGGGGCTGCAGAAGCCAGGGCGGTGGGATGGGAGCAACTCCAGTCCTTTATAGTGTTCTCTGCAGTGGAGGCCTGGGCTCCATTCTTATCTGCTTGAGCTGGCTTGAAGCAATGTGCCTGTCCTCCTCCCCCCCACCCCCCACCCCTGCCCCAGATTCCTAAACCCTGGGGAAGTTGGCAGAGAGACGGAATCAGCACTGACCTGACTGAAACTATTTCCTTGGAAAGGTTCGAGACAGAGCAGGCCCTGCGCATGAGCGTGGAGGCTGACATCAATGGCCTGCGCCGGGTGCTGGATGAGCTGACCCTGGCCAGGACCGACCTGGAGATGCAGATCGAGGGCCTCAAGGAGGAGCTGGCCTACCTGAAGAAGAACCACGAGGAGGTGGGTCAAGCTGGGCCTTTGTCCACCTTGTCCCAGAACTGGGAGACACTATTATCTTGGACACACTGATCACGACCTCATTTCTTACATCATTAGTATGACCCTGGCTCGTGATCACGCCTCTCACGGTCCCAGCAGGACATGATGACCATCAATCACACCTACTCTCCAGTTCTGGCTCCTAGACCTGCACCTTCAAACCAGCCCTTTTTGGCTCAGGGCTTTGGGGAGTGACCTGGTCCAGGTCCAGCATGTTTAGGTCTTGACATGCCCACCTCTGTGGTGTCTCTGCAGGAAATTAGTGCCCTGAGGAGCCAAGTGGGTGGCCAGGTCAGCGTGGAGATGGATTGTGCTCCAGGTGTCGACCTCGCCAAGATCCTGAGTGACATGAGAAGTCAATATGAGGTCATGGCTGAGAAGAACCGGAAGGATGCTGAAGCCTGGTTCATTACTCAGGTATGGAGAGGGTGTTGGTATCCTGTGAGGGTGGAGAGGAGAGGGACCCTGAATTCCCCACACGAAGATATGCCCTGTTGCTTATTTTCTCCTTGTCTTGTCTTGTTGCAGACTGAGGAGCTGAACAAGGAAGTCGCTGGCCACACTGAGCAGCTCCAGATAAGCAAGACCCAGGTCACAGACCTTCGACGCACCCTCCAGGGCCTTGAGATCGAGCTGCAGTCCCAGCTGAGCACGGTACGTGTCCCTACCCCACGGGCCGCACAGCTCGAGGCCTGGCGTAGCTCAGCTGGTGGCTGTGCCCGTGTTTGGGAACCTGCCTCTGCTGAGTCATGTCCCCTTTCCCTCCCCTCAGAAAGCCGCCCTGGAAGGCACGCTGGCAGAGACAGAGGCCCGCTATGGAGCTCAGCTGTCACAGATCCAGGGCATGATCAGCAGCATTGAAGCCCAGCTGGCCGACGTGCGCGCTGACACAGAGCGCCAAAACCAGGAGTATCAGCAGCTCATGGACATCAAGTCGAGGCTGGAGCAGGAGATCGCCACCTACCGCAGCCTGCTCGAGGGCCAGGAAGCCCACTACAACAGCCTGCCCACCCCCAAAGCCATCTGAGCTGATCCCGTGCTGCCAGCCAGACTCCCCTGGGGGAGGGGCACAACTGGGGTGATAGTTTTACTCCAGCTCCTGACTTGTCAATAAAACTATTCTCCAGGGCAAGGGCCGTCTGCTTATTTCAGCCCACGGAGAGATGGGTCATGTCTTAGCCCCTTGTTTTGTTTGAACCAAAGTTCACCCTGTCCCAGCACAGGGAACATGAACGAGGATGCAGTGATGGAAAGTCCCATTTGTATGGGTCACTTAACAAAACAGGGCTTAGGGAGGTCCAGTGGTTGCTTGTGTATGTATCTGCTATGATACATGGCAAAGCGAGGTGCGTGCATGTGTGTATGTGTGTGCTTGTGTGTGTGTGTGTGCGTCCTTGTGTGAGGCCAGAGGTTAACATTAACTGTCTTCTGTCATCACTCTTCCCTCTATAGACAAGGTCTCTCACTGAATCTGTGGCTCACTGGCTGGCGAGTTCCAGGGACCCACTTTGCCTCCTCATGTTGAGATTGCAGTTCTACTCTTGGCTTTCCTCTCTTCTTCTTTTTTTAAACACTCATTTATTAGTGTGTAGGTGTGTGGGCACAGTTTTGAAGGGTAGAAGACATCTCTTAGGAGCCCGTTCTCTCTTTCCTCCCACATGCGTTCTGGGGACCTAACTCAGGTCGTCAGGCTTGGTGGCTCACGCCTTTACCCAGGAGGCCTCCTGGCCCCATGCCAGCTTTTCATGTGAGCGATGGGGATCTGAACTCCGGTCCTTGTGCTTGTGGAGCAAGCGTTTCACTGCTGGAGCCATCTCTCCAGCCTCAAAAGTGGGATTTGAGACACTCTCAGACTTAGTTTTCTTTCCATTGTGCTCCCTGGGCTTGTGATGCGCGTATGAAATGAATGAAGGTTGGACACTTTCTACGTAGCGTTAATAAAACAACCTCGAGGGTAGGATGAAACAGCCTTTTACACAGCAGGAAGTGAATTCAAAAGGTGAAATCCTTGGTCGAGCCACCCACAGCTCTACAAGACAATGGGAGATAGCATGGAAGGCGTACAGGTCTTGGCCACTGTGATCCAGGTGATCCTAGAGTTGCCACAATATCTCCTAGTCTTGTTCCACGTGAAGGCTCAGGACAGGGACCCCACTGGGGCTTTGGGGTTTAGACATTCTGCTTAAAGCAAGGCTGGAAAGGGTGTCCTTGTCGGTGTATGCCTGTGTGCAGGTACCAACACATTTATTAGGCGGCAGAGCTTCATAAGGCTTTTAACACTCACCAGCTCCTACCCTCCCTGTCCCAGTGCCTGGAATGGTTGTGGGCTGTGACCTAGACCTCCCATACAGGGCCCCAACCCGGCTTGTCTGGAGCCTGCCCCAAGCTCACAGAGGAACAAAGTTGCAGCTACCTGGTGCAGCTCTGCGGCTGGGTAGGTACGGTGACCCTACACTTTATAGTTCAGCTGCCAAGAGTTGAAGCCAACTCGAGGTAAATAAGGGACCCATAAAACAAGATCCTGGCTGCAGGATGCTGGCTCTCACAACAGCTGCCAGGGACCTGTGGGGGAGGGGACAAGTGAAGGGTCCTCGTCTTAGTACCAAATCTGAGGCCTTTTAGGGAGGTGTGTTGAATGCTGGTTGCCCCATGCCATGATTTTTGCTAAGCCTGAAGGAGAGTCAGTCTCTCCCTCTCTCGCTTTCCCCTGGGGGGAGTCTCTGTACCTTAGCTTGCTCCGAATCATAAGGCTGATTTATAAAAGTATGGTCCCAGAGCCCTGCTCTTCCCTTGCCTGTCCCTCCCCCTGCCCTGTGGCCTCCTTTGCCTTTCAACAGCCTCAATCTCCTTCCATCACTTAAATTCTCAGGAGGATTTAGAGCTGGTGGCAGAGGCCAGACCGCACCTCAGCCTCAGATTGCCTGAAGATCCTTGTCCCTGCCTATGAAAGCCTCCCTTGTCATAGCCGAAACCCTCCCTCTGCCCCAGGGCCCCTGGAATGTGACTGTGGGGCGGGGTATGGCCCACACAGGTGTGGCAGGTGACAGGGTCACCAGCACAGGAGGCTGTAAGTTGGGGTGTGGGACGAAGCCTTTCTTTGCGTGTACAGGGTGAAAAGGCTTTGTTGTTTCATCCTCAGAGCTCTTTATGGCATGATCTGAGGATGGAGATAGAGATGAGAATAGAGCTGGATCTTTCCATCATGTTTATATCTTATGTATGGAGTTATTTTAATTTTCAGGGCATAGACTGAAGCCCAGAAGGAGGCCCAATTATTGCCCAGAGCCATATACCTGGTTAGAAACGGGAAGGTGAGACTCTAAGGTCAGAGGTTAGTATGCATTCTCGCCCTGGAACCAATCTAGGAGTCAGGAGAGGTGTGAATGGTAACTAACGTTTAGGCAGCTTCTTTTTTCATGTACCATCTGAGTGCTCATTCTGGTGCTGGGACCAGGTCCTGACAATCCATTTTGATCTGTGATCCAGTCTCAGAGAGGCTGCACATCACACCTGAGAGAGAACCCAGTTAGTGTCTTCCCACTGTGGGGAGCAGTCTCAGCTCAAGGAGGGAGGGGCCTGTTCCAGAGAAAAGGCCAGAAGCAGGCATATGTCTATTCAGCCTGCTGCTGAAGAAGCCCTAAACCTCACCCAGATATGTGCACACAGTAGCTGTTTGGATGATCAGGGCCTTCCTTCCTTCCTTCCTTCCTTCCTTCCTTCCTTCCTTCCTTCCTTCCATGTGTGCAAATGTGTGAGGGGTCAGAGTTCTTCGTTAATCTCTTTCCAGCTTCTTTTTTTGAGAGACAGTCTTTCTCTGAGATGGGAGCTCCCTGATTGGGCTAGACTGGCTGGCCAGTGAGCCTCAGGGATCTACTTCCCCTTCCTGGGTCCCCACCTTGTGCTGGGGTTAGAAGCCTGTAACACTGCGCCTGCTTTTCCATGGGTATTGGGGATCCAGGCTCAGGTCCTTATACTTGTGCGCAGAACCTGCTATCGACCAAGCCATCTCCCCAGCCTCCAGATTAGAGACTTTTTTTTTTTTTTTTGAATCAGAACAGAGAGGAAGGCAGGTGCCCCTCCAGGCCTGGAGCACAGAGTAGACGGAAAACCACCCCAAGGGCTGCTAGCGGAGAGTCAGGGTGCAGAACAGGGCTGGCTGGAGTCCGGTTCTCTCCCTCTCCCTGGGGTAATGGAAGATTAATTGTTCTCTGTGTTAATTGCTGGGGCCGCCATGTCTGCAGAGGCTTTAATGAGCTCTTACTGATCTGGGTTTGATTATTTTTCTTTGGAAGGAAAAGACAATATCCTCCCACCCATAAGACAATACTATACTGTCTGAAGCCAGCACCGGGATGCCCGGCTTGCTATGAAGATGGCGACGAGCCCTCTCCCTGGAGCCCATAGTTCTCCTTTTAACCCAATTCAGACAACAGGAAAGTTTTCTATGTCTTGCTTGGGTTTTGGGGAGGGGGGTTGGTTCAAAGGACCATCATAGTCCCGAAAATTCTCTTTTCAGCTGGGCCATCCCTTGTTCGTAGCATCACCCCTTTGAGTCCTAATTTCATTCCTTCTGGAACTTGGGCTGCAGTTAAACTCTGTGTCATGGATTAGAGGAGGTTGTGGACACAAAAGCACTTTGTCAATCATGAAAATATGGAACAAAAGTAGAGGATTATCCTGTTATATCACAAAGAAGGGTCGTCTGACGGCCAACCAGAGCTGCCAAGCCTGAGAATGTGCCAAATCTGAGGACAGCCTTCATTCTGGAGGGATCTCAGGATGGCTGGACTTGCAGCCATCACTCCCTTCAGATGGATGGCTCGGAGTCAGGTTGGGAATCTTGAGCCTCCCTCAGCACTTTCCACGAAGTGAATGTCCTATACCACAAAGAAGCTGAACCTTAAAAATCGACAAGTGCTGAGTTTCGTGGGATAGAGACAGGCAGTTAAACATAGGCCCAAGGCATGCCTGAAGCCCTATCTACTTTCCCATGCCATCTCTAAGTGCCAGCGCCTTAGAGAAAGAGTCCCCTCCCGCCCCTTCCTCCCCCGAATGTGCAGCTGTCCTTTCTAGCCTCAGTATTACATGGGATGGATTCCTTGGCCTCTGCGCTCTGGTGCTTTGCACCTGCGTACCAACCTCTTCCCGCCCCACCCCCACCCCTGCCTCCGCCCTCCTCATAGTACTCAGGCACGCAGGGCCTCTAGTTCAGCCCCTCCCAGGCTGGCAGCAGTTGACAAGGCAGATGGGGGTTAATCTGGGCCTGCTAAGCAGGGACATGCCTCTTGCTGGAGAAGGCAGGGGCTTTCTGGAACTTGCCCGAGTCTTATCTGCAGAGGTTTGCCCCAACGCGTCTCGGGAGCAAGTGAAGGTTTAGTGACATGTGCAGTTGGCAGATGACAGGGTTATCAATCAGACTCCTGTCAGCCTGAACCTTCGGGGCTTTTGTGAGATAGTCAGGCCATGGGCTGGGGGACCTGAAGAGGCAGGAGGGGTTTCTTGAATTGGAGTGGTGGGAGGGCTGGTGAGGGGAGGAGAGAACATTCCCAGACACCAGGGATGGGTCAGAGGGACAGGTGTTGGCTTTTCTGGTCACCTCAGTTGGAATGTGACTCAAGAGCCCCTCTTTTGTCCTCAGCCTGCCCTGTGGACATCTGAATTCTCATTCTTGGGGACTTCCATGTCTCGAAGGCTCATGCACAGGACCTTTGAGTTGAGGGCACAGAACAGCGATGGGAGAAACTGAGAGCAGGGAGCTGCCTACCTCTGGGTGAAGCTCGCACGCTGGCAGTGGGGGGCAAAGCTGGCCTGGCCGCTCTAACGGGAGCCTTGGGGGCTGTGCTGTGGTGAGACTTTGCTCTCGCAGCTCTCTTTCTCCTAGAGTGAGGAACGAACCTGTAATCCAAGTGTTAAAACTATGGCCCAGGGCAAAACCCCATTAATTCTGAATCATCTCTTTTGTTGCATTAAGAAAGAGAGAAAAAAAATAAAGGAAAAAAAAAAACTCCCCACAAGCGAGCCTTGTGGAGGTGTGCAGGCAGCTGTGTCTGGAAGGCAAAGGAGTTGGCTCTACTCAGGGGGAGGAGGTGAGGCCCCCACCCCCTCCCAAGAGTATATAAGGAGTCCCAGCCCAGGGGCAACAGCACTGCAGTCTGGTTTCAGCCCAGCTCAGCAGCTCCTGCTAGAGTCTCTCTTGCTTACTGGGGACACGCAGGCACAGGCTGCCTGACCATGGCCACCACATTCTTGCAAACCTCTTCCACGTTTGGAGGTGGCTCTGCCAGAGGGGGTTCCCTCCGTGCTGGTGGAGGCAGCTTTGGTGGAGGAAGTCTCTATGGGGGAGGCGGGAACCGAAGCATCTCTGCTTCCTCGGCTAGGTTTGTCTCCTCGGGAGCAGGAGGGGGTTATGGCGGTGGCATGAGCTGTGGCTTTGGCGGTGGTGTTGGTAGTGCTTTTGGTGGAGGTTTCGGTGGGGGTTTTGGCGGTGGCTTTGGTGACTTTGGTGGTGGCGATGGAGGTCTTCTCTCTGGCAATGAGAAGATCACCATGCAGAACCTCAATGACCGCCTGGCCACCTACCTGGACAAGGTGCGCGCCCTGGAGGAGGCCAACACGGAGCTGGAGGTGAAGATCCGGGATTGGTACCAGAAGCAGAGCCCAGCCAGTCCAGAGCGGGACTACAGCCATTACTTTAAGACCATAGAAGAGATCCGGGACAAAGTAAGTCTGTCCAACAGAGGGAAACAGGTGGCTGGTGCCTGGGCACATCTGTAACTCAGCATTACTGCTGACTAAGAGAAGCCCTTTCCTGCTGTGTGGCCTCGGCAAGGTCAGGGTACACCTGCTTTCCAGCACACCTGTCCCACTTGTCAGTGCTGAGGGAGTCAGTGGTCCTGGGAATCTGATTTGGATTCGTGGGGGTGCCTGTGAGAGCAGTGGAAGAGAGTAACTCCTTCTCTTTGCCACACGGAATTTGGAAGGATCTTTGTAAATTACATTTTGGCCTGCGTGATGTTTAGGCGCAGCCTCTTGAGTCCTAAATGCGTGGACCGTTTGTTTCAGCTCTTAAAGAGGTCTTTCTTGCTGGAAGCATTGTTGGATCTTAGGAGACCAGGGGCCTCAATATAGGCTGTGCCACCCCCTCGCTTTCCCTTTTACTAACTGGATCTGTTTTCCTTAGCTGCAAATGCTTTCCTTAGCGGCCGTCCAAGTTCCCAATGAATTCTGGAGACCAAGGTCTCTGTCAAGGCATGTAGGAGGCAGGCAGCCACTGTGAGCTGTGGCCAAGTAGGCTGGTATAGTGTGTCTCTGGAGAAGCCTTACTAGACAGAGCCAGCTCTCTCCATTGCAGGCTAGCCATGTCCCACAGGCAAGTCCTTAGTTTTCTATGCCTTGAAGGTGTCACAGGGAAGGTAGCATGGGTCAGCAAGCCCTTAGATACAACTCCCTGTCTTCCACAGATACTGGCTGCTACCATTGACAACTCACGCGTTATCCTGGAGATTGACAATGCCAGGCTGGCAGCAGATGACTTCAGGCTCAAGTGCGTGCCCACTGCATCGCCCCTTTCTATAACACCCCCTTTACCCAGCCTTCCTCTTCTCTGACCCAGAAACCTAGGCCCCTTACCTTTCCTGACTTTAGCTCTTTTCCTCTCCCCCAGGTATGAGAACGAGCTGGCCCTGCGCCAGTCCGTGGAAGCCGACATCAACGGCCTGCGCCGGGTGCTGGATGAGCTGACCCTGGCCAGGACCGACCTGGAGATGCAGATTGAGCAATTGAACGAGGAGCTGGCCTACCTGAAGAAGAACCACGAGGAGGTGACAGCAGGACGGGGGGGGGTAGGAATAAGAGCCGAACTGTTGGCGTTTTGTCACAGTCTGCTGAGGGCTTTAGTGGTCAGAAATGCACTCTAGGGGCCCCGTGGAGGAGGAGAGGCACTATTCTTTGGTAATCTGGACCCAAGGCCAGGCCAGGTGTGAACTGCAGGACTGGTTGGTTTCACGGGCTTATTGTCTCAAGGTCCTTGTTTCATAGGACCCAGAGCAAGAGAAGTCCTCCGAGCTGGGGGCGGGGGGTGTCCATATGATCCAAGGGGGAACAGAGATGGATAGGGTAGCACCGTGTGCTAAGGTCACACTGTGAGTTAGACTCAGAGTCAGCCCGCCCTCAGGACTCCACATTCTTAGTTCTGTTTTACAGCCTTGCCTCTATATGACCCCACCCCTCCTCCACCTTGCAGGAGATGAAAGAGTTCAGCAATCAGCTGGCCGGCCAGGTCAATGTGGAAATGGATGCAGCACCCGGGGTGGACCTGACCCGGATGCTGGCAGAGATGAGGGAGCAGTATGAGGCCATCGCGGAGAAAAACCGTCGGGATGCAGAGGCCTGGTTCTTCAGTAAGGTGGGTCTGACGGTAACCCACCCCACCCCGGCTCCGCTCTACCCTTCCTCCCCGCTCCATAGGCCTCTGAGGAGGCCCTCAGGGCTCATGGTCCTCCTGTGTCACTTGCAGACTGAAGAGCTGAACAAGGAGGTAGCCTCCAACACAGAAATGATCCAGAGCAGCAAGACGGAGATTACAGACCTGAGGCGCACCTTGCAGGGCCTGGAGATTGAGCTGCAGTCCCAGCTGAGCATGGTACATTCACACTGGCCTATGGGGTGACACACGTGCCCATCTCCCGTGGCTGGTGAAGCCTCAAACTCCCATCCCCAACAGTGGTCACTCTGGGCACCCCATCCTGTTCTTCCTACCCCTCTGCTTTCAGTGGGTTATCTTCTAGTCTCATGGGTCTTTGGATCTGTTTCCCCACCAGAAAGCCGGGCTGGAGAACTCCCTGGCAGAGGTGGAGTGCCGCTATGCCACACAGCTGCAGCAGATCCAGGGCCTCGTTGGCAGCCTGGAGACCCAGCTGAGCGAGCTCCGCTGCGAGATGGAGGCTCAGAACCAGGAGTACAACATGCTGCTGGACATCAAGACTCGGCTGGAGCAGGAGATCGCCACCTACCGCAGCCTGCTCGAGGGCCAGGATGCTAAGTAGGTGCAGAGGTGCAGGGAGAGAGAAAGAAGGGGGATGGACGGGCTGGGAGGCAGGACCCTCAGAAGCGGGAAGCAGGGCATCTCAACAGCTGTGTTGTTGAGTGCAGAGAGACCTAAGGAATCTGGAATCTACGTTCTGGGCTGTTATTTTGGGTAGCTACTTCCTCTTTCTGGACTGGTGCTTCTCCTAGAAATGATGGGCAGGACATTACGACATCTCCGGGTCTGTCTGTTTAGAGCGGCAGGCAGGATGGACAGATCACCAGGATGTCCCAGCCCCTAGAAAAGCCACGGGGCTGGGGAGGACTCCTCAGCTGTCCGACCGGGGGTTCCCTTAGTGAGACTGGAGCTTTCTCCCTTGGCTAACATCTGCTTTCCCTTCTCTTTCAGGATGGCTGGTATTGGCGTCAGGGGAGGTAAGAGAGGGTAAAGCCCTTTGGTGTGGGTGGGAGCAGATTATTGGAGCTACCATTCTGCTTATCGTGGGGAACAAGGAGAAAGAGACAAATATCCCAATAGGGCACGATATTCTGGTTTCAGGATATACCCCTTCCCCAAGGACCCTGGGTGGGATTAGAAGTTTCCTAAGGACATTCCAGGCTGTGTAGGTTCTGTCCTGGGCTTGCCTTTCTACCTGGTCTCACCTTCATGCTGATGTGATGAGACAGTAACTGCTGTCCACGAGCAGCTTAACCCCCCCCCCCCAGCCATTTATTCACTGCTGGGGATTCCTGAGATTTCCAGCTCTCACCTCTGATAAGTAACTCAGCAGGCCTCCTGGCAGCTCCAGAGGGATTGGCCAGTGGCTGTTCTCAGGGCAGCTGCCCATTTTGCCAGCTTCTGGAGGTCCCCCTTGCCGAAGCCTGCTCTTTGTTTCTGCAGCCTCCCTGGGAGGTGGTGGAGGCAGCAGTAGCAGCGGCAGCAATTTCCACATCAGCGTGGAGGAATCAGTCGACGGAAAGGTGGTTTCTTCCCGTAAGAGAGAAATCTAAGTATCTGGTGCAGGAGAAAAGACCCTGGCTCCCCACTGCCTTCCAGGCTGAGAGAGGTTGGAAAAGCAGACTCCAGTCCATGCTTCAGGGAGCAGCCGATGGAGAGGGCCTCTCTGCTTTCTGGTTCCAGGCTTTGCTTGTTCTCCCTTTTACAGCTTTCCCTGCTTCCCTTTAAGCACGGAGGTGCACGAAGCAACTGACCTTTGCGTGGTGTCTGTTCCTTCAATAAAGAATCACTTTTCTTTTCACAAAGGCCTCTTGGGCATGCGTCCAGTGTTTTTTTTGGTGGTGTCCAGTTCTGAGGAGGTCACCATTCTGACACTTACCTCTATGTTTTTTTTTTCTTTTCCTCCCTGAATGATAATACACAATTCATTCTTGAGTGTGCAGGGTGTTGTGGTCCCAGAAGGTGGCTCACTTTTCTGCATTAGCCCATGGGATGGGGAGGGCTGGAAACAGTGGAAGTGGGGCTGGGGCAGTTCCCTAGGGTAATCTGGGACACTTAGCGCAGAACACATATTTAACGACTACTTTTCAAATGAGTGGTATACAGCAGCATTTGGATGTCACTGTGCTAGGCACACTCATTCCCGTGTCTGATTCAATACTTACCGCCGTTGGTGGTCAGGACCTGTCCTTCCCATCCTAGAGACGAGGGCCCTGCTGTTGTAGGCGTGAAGGGCTTGCTTGCCTGGTGGATGGGCAGTCAGCATTGGGGCTGGACCGGACCTCATACTTACATGACTTCATAACTAGGTCATGTTCTGGGATCCCAGGCCATGGCCCTTCACAGCTTTGTCCTTACCTTGCACACTGAACTTTCTTTGTTGTCTAGCTGGGCACATTTAGCCTTCAAGAGGACCAGCTAAGTCCATCTCTGTCCATCTGTAAAGCTGTACTTTGTCCCCCTGAAGCAGACACTTCCTTCTAAATGGCACACAAGTCATCTAGAGGGACAGATACTGGCAACAGGAAGCCCTCCGGTGTTCCCAACATCAAGTCTGAGGCAACTCTAGCCCTTTCTGCCTTCCTTGATCCAGAGCTCTATGCCTGCTCCCAATTCCCAGCATGCCCCTGGGGCCCATCGGAGCAGCAGTGTCCACACACACCTGCTTATTGCCTCTGACTTGGGAGCACTTCCTCTGAGCCCATATCTCATGGTTTTGAACAGAGTGTAAGAAAAGAGGTGGAGAGATCTGGGTGCTTCAGCTGGGCAATGTCTGGCTCAGGGGTGAGGGCTGGAGATGGGAGGGAGATGTGTCTATTTGTCCAGCCTTCCTGGAAAGAGCAGTCTGGGAGAGGCTCTCCCTACTCTTTAAGGGAAACACCAAGCCCCTGGAGAGGATCAGCATTGCCTCCATGGGTAAAGCCTCTTCTCCACACACCACTGATGGAGATAGTGCCTGGTCTTCTGAGAAGACCAAAGGGACAATGTGACTCAGACAGCACAGGCCAGACTTCCATAGGCTGACAGAAGGAGTGGGATTTACTGAGTGTCTATACTATGCTGGGCCCTGGGCAGGGCTTTCCATAATACCATCTCATTAAGTCCCCCCAAAACACTGTGAAGTGGTGTCAGCCTCCAGAGTCAGAAAAGGAAATGGAGGCTCAGGAATGTGAAATAAGCCATGCATAAGCCAGAAATGGCAATACAGGGCCCCCATGAGTCTCTCTGAGCCCAGATCCTTGCATTTGCTCCAATGACAGAAGGTAACAGAAGCTGAGAAACTTATTTATTATTATTATTTTTAATTATAGATCTGCTCACTGGAACCTATTGACCACCAGGAAGCCTGTTCAAATGTCATAAAGAAATGCTGTTAGAAAGACCGTCATGGCATCTGGCCCTTGTCTCTCATGTCGTGGCTTCTGCTCACATGGAGGCTTAAGACATTAATTACAACCTCTCTTATCCCCATCCTGAGAACAACAAGGTTCTGTCCCAAGTCTCCTTTGGCTCAGAAGCTGGTTCCTTCTCTGTCTTACAGGGCTTTGGGTCCCCACAGGAGAGGCATCAGACCTTCTGAACCAGGCCAGTGTTTTTCTGCCTTCAGTTTGCAAAATAAAAACAAAGCAAAACGAAACAAACACCTTTGCATAAGGTGCATTAAGGCAAGAGAGGGACAGACTGAAGGTGGCATCTGCTTTTTCTCCTGAAGCCAGACCCTGAGTGTTAGGGAGGAAGAGAAGCTGCCTTTCTGGCAGGTGATATGGCTCAGTGAGTAAAAGGGCTTGCTGCTAAGACTGATGTCTTGAGTTCGAGCCCCAGGATCCACATTGTAAGAAAGAAGCAACTTCCATAGGTTGCCCTCTGACCTCTATATGTGCACTGAGGACACCATCACCTCCCCACCCCCCCAGCAATAAAATAAATGTAAAACCTATTGTGTATGCTTGTGGGGGGGGAGGGGAAGGGGAGAGAAGAAGGGGAGAGAGAGGAGGAGGGAGAAAAGGAAAGAGAGAGAGATAGAGAGATAGAGAGTCTGTCTTTCTGTAGTGACCCCCGCCCCCTCATTTGCCCTTGCTTTTGCTTTTTTGAGACTGTCTCCCTGGCTGGCTTCAAACTGTTGTATAGCTAAGGATGACATTGAATTCCTGATCCTCCTGCTTCCACTGGGTTTATAGGTTTGAGCCATTGAGTTGGCTTGGAGGACCTATTTCTGCTTTCCCGGGATCCCCAGTGGTGCTGTCAAGATGTTCTTCCCCTGTGCTGGCCCTGGAGATGCCTGTATCCTGAGATAGCTTACATCCTACAAGCCCTTCAATAGTTTCTGGGCAGAGGAGGCACACCTTCTGTGTGCCCTGGGCTGAGGTCAGGCTTGGGTTCCAGCCAACCCAAGGACGCAGGCAGCAAGTGAGACCCCCTCCCACTCCTACAGGAGAACATGGCTGGAGGGCTGGAAGTATGGCCTTGGGTGTGTCTTCTGCTTATTGAGGTTTTTTTTTTAGAGCAGGCATGAGACATGACTACCCTATCTCCCTGAGGACCAAAGCTGGTCTTTTTCCTTCTTCTGAGTCTTAATTTCCCAACCTGTAGAATGAGGAGTACGACCTGGACATGGTGACCTGGAACCTCAGCAAAGAGCCAGGCACTGGACCTTCTGCAGAACCCTCAGTGTGGTTGTTACCTTAGTGTTTGTTGGCCTTTTATACAGAGATGCTTCTCCTTCACTGCTCTTGCCTGGCACGGCTCTGGACAGCCTCCAGTCACTTGGATGTGTGTCTACGTGTTGGTCACCTGCAAGAGAAACCGGAGGAGACAGCTCCAACAGGACAGTTCTCCTGGGACTGGGAGCTGGGGTAGCTCACTGACTGCTGCTTCTGTGTGCTGTGTCTCATCACCCGCATCCACAGACAAAGATCTCCTTCCCTGTCCCCACGTCCACCCTCCCCAAACAACTTCCCAGGCTTCTCTGCACCAGGAGCTGTGTTTGGAGATGTGGAGAGGAAGTGACATAGGAGCTAGCTGCTATGTTGCCATCTGTTCGGTTGCCATGGGTGCTCTGCAGGGACCAGAGAGGGAGGAAGGTGACACTGGGTGTCAGCACAGGGTGGAGGCTCAGGAGGATTTTCAGACTGGCCTTCTAACAATGAGTTTGCATTTCCTCACAGGGAAGTCTCTTCCTGACCCGTGTCTTTTTCATCTCAGGTATTTGATAAGCATTCTGCACCCATTCATCTAATACTTGTTTTTCAGTTGTGGCCATTCAGGCCCTGGAAGGTTGAGTAACTTTTGTTAAGGTCACACAGTCCTCAGAGGTTTGAAACTCAGCTTCATCTCATCCAAAGTCTTTGCTGACCCTGCTGAGTTTCTGGGAAGCCAGTGTTGACATAAAGGGATTTTTAGAATGAGGCATGTGGACATGCCAGTGCCTGAGGCACCGAGGCTGCTTTGAAGTGATTTCAGAGTAGTTCTGTAACAAGCAGGTGTCTGTGAGGAGGGAGCCCTGTCTCAAGGCCTCTGTTGACTCTCAGGAGAGGGAGAAGGGACCCCATCCAAGAAGACACCACAGTAGGAGCCGGGGGACTGGGTGCCAGCCAGGGAGGGTTCCACGTATGAGCAACTTGGTGAAGACAGACACACAGCCGAGGGTCAGAGACTTGGAAATACAACGTGCTGATGGCAGCTTAGGGATGGTGTCACTGTGACATTCAAGGGAAGCCTCGGAAATCCGTGCATTTCTTCTTGTTTCCTGCTATCCCAGGCCTCAGATTTCCTAGATGTGAAAAGAGGGTATTAAGTGGGCAAATTCTTATGACAGTTCTTCACTGAGCTAGCTTAAGCTCTGAGCTCCGACCAGGCACAGGCACCCGAAGGGCTGACATCACAAGCTATTGGTGTCATGGGCTGAGCCACCGTGGGAAGCAGAACCATCTACTGGCTGGGTGCAAAAGATGCCTGAGCATGGAGAAGCCAGGAGATGTTGTGCTTGCTTGGACGGGGGTAGCTTCATCTAAAAAAGGGGGGGTGTGTAAAACAAATGAACAAAAAAAAAACATCCCCCCAAACCCAACCAACCAACCAACCAACCAGCCAGCTGACCACCACCACCACCACCACCACCACCACCACCACCACCACCACCAC